TTGCTAAAACAACACCTGGGTAAGCCTGCTTGATCATATCAAACGTCTCTGTCGCAGATTTACCGAGTTTCACACAGAATTTAATCGCGTACCTCTGCTCTAACGAACGCTGCATTTTCGGCTTGCACCACTCACAGAAAAACGTCGCGTTAAAATGCCTGTCCTGACTCTCCAAGTGCTCGGAGACAACTGACCAGCCGCTCATTCGTTAGCTAGGAACGCCCTCTACCGAATCCAGTCGGTGCGCGCACGCTCCGAAGTACAGTCATGGCCGAAGAAAATGAGTCCTATTACTTTCCGGACAAACCCTCTATAACTGCGCAAAACCCTAATATGACGTCCATAAGAAAAAATAAAGTTGATGACAGAGGACAAGGGACAAAACGTCAATTGAAATTCTAATTACGCAATTTTGTAGAGCAGATAAAGAATCTTTGTTAATGTGCAATTTATTTTAAAATCCCACTACAAACAATGTCAGGAAAAAGTTGAAACAATTTTGGTTTCTTCTGTCTCTCTCCGGAAGTACATACTTTGAATTTCGAAACTTTCCAAGTGACAATTTGTTAGTTATCTAAGTAGGTAACTATGCTCCTATTTAAGCGACTGAGGGTTGAATTTGAAACACTCGGTATATTTGCCGGCTAGTAGTCAACCTGTACTAAGTTGAAAAACCCATTAATAACAAATAATATTGATTTTCGATTATGATACATACTTTTGCAAGAAACTTCATTCATATACAAAAGTGAAGATAAACTCGGATACCTGTATTGCACGAATGTACATATAAACACTTTTTTCAGCACGTCTTTCTATAAATGCAGCGTTACACATTCAACCACTCTAGCATTCCTAAACGACACTACTTGAAGTCATAGTACATGTAAAATTGTCAATTTTCACATCAGTTAACAGCAAAATGTAGTTAAATTGGATTAGTTCCTCAGTCTCTCTGCTATTGCGATACCTAAGTGTATCTTCGCATCAGGCGTGCCATTTCATTTCATCGTTCATTTCATTCCCTGTTCATAACGAGGTAATTTTTATGCCTGGCGGTTTTATCCCCGTCTTCTTCGCCTGGAACAACATGCGCCTGCAGCGACCAAGTTGATATAAAGAGGATTATTATTAGGCATCAGCATGTACTTGTATACTGCTGTGTCAACTGCATTTATGCTCTCATACAATTCAGTGTGAAATTCGCGATCCTTTATTGAATGGAAATTTCGAGCGAATATTTTTTAAGTTTGGTAACCAACTACAACTCAAAAGAATATGTTTATCATTTACTCATCTGATTGTCATTGTCTCTTTGTAAAGAACCTCTGTACCTACTGATCTGATTCGCAACATGCCAAATCATGTCAGGGATCATAAGTTAGAATATCCTGTCCTACATTGCCGGATATTGCGGTAAGGTTGAAGTTATATGATATTTATGCCGTTTAGAATCGTTTTTGTCAGTCAGAAAGTGAAGAAAGTTGAGCTGTAATTGACATCATGGTATTTCTGCCTGTTAAATTATGCAATATCGCACGTTACTGGTTTGGCGACGTTGCGTTGTCTGGAGACTGGACACGTTGCTCGTTGTACCAGTGTCTAGTCTGTTATGTTGAGTTGGGATTTCTTATCGGATAGCACTTCTATGCTATGTTACTGTTGCATGAAATGCGTTACTTGAGAGTCATGTTTATAAACTCAATTGTTCGGTTGCGTCATCTCTACTTTTTCGATGTATACTAAAAAAATATAGTAGGTACACTGGTATGGTCTGCAGTTTTATTTCTCGTATCCCCCAAGGCTTCTAATAATTGCCAACAATGCCGTTTAGAAGCGTTCTTGAGATTCAGAAAGTGAGTGCAAGGTCAAAACTCTTAAGAGCTACAGTACTCCCGTTGACTAAGAACATGGGAGCTCCATGTTTGCCAGCTTTGTGTGACATATGCTGTGATTTTTTTCTGAGAGATAAGCTAAATGGTTCTTTAGAGGGCGGTAAAAGGTTGTATTTCATTATTCATTTCATTCATTCAGTCCATGTAGAATAAATCCTGAAAATTTCAGCTTGCTTCGATTAGTGTATCATGTCACATTCGTTGTTGTGATGCGATAAACGTAATAAACGCAATAGAATCCTTACCACCTACAAGTACAAAACCTATTGTGTTTAGCCGCTCTTGATGTCGATTTACCGACAAATGTAGAAGATAATTTAATTTAACTAACTTTCAACGAACATTTTCGTAATAGTCTCCATTATTTTCTATACACAAGCGACACCTAATCAAATTGTCCTATAGTCTTTGAAATGAATTTGCGTTTTCCATAATTCTCATTTTTGCTCCATCAATTTTTTGGCGCAGTTGGTTGACATTTTTATATCCAGATGTATAGATTATACCCTTATAAACCCCTATATAGGAAAACTAGATGACTTAAATCGAGTGACTTGGAGGCCATCGTATGTGTCCACCTCTACCTATTCCACGCCTAGGTAAAGGCAGTCTAAGTAATGCCGTACATCCCGTGCAAAGTGGCATGGGGCACCATCGCATTGTAAATACATGTAGCTTCAAACATCCAAAGGTACATCATCTAGCAGCTAATGCAAACTGCTTTGTAGAAAAGCAAGATATGACTGACCATTCAACCTGGCGGGCAATTCATATGGTTCAATTAATTTTTTGTTGAGTACTCCAGCCCTTAAATTAACGCCGAACTGACGTTGTTAGCTGAGTCGGCGAATAGCGGGTGGATTTTCCACGCTCCATGAATGGAAATTGTGCATATTGAATATTCCATTTCGGTTAAAGTTGGATTCATCTGTCCATAGGATGCTGGCGAAAAAAGTTTCATCCTCTTCGCACCTTCTCATCATATTCTCACAAAATTCAACCCGTTGTGCATAGTCGCTTGGAACCAATTCTTGTACTTTTTGTACATGGTAAGGATGCATGTTCTCCGAGCGTAGTATTGTGTGCATTGGCTCTGATGTTTATAGATGGATCTCTCTCGGCTGCTTCTATGATACCTTCTATTTCTCCTGGGCGTATCGTCGGCGCTCCTAGCTGACTATGAGTGCCTAGTATGCGGCCGTCCATATACGCATTATGGACGCGTAGAAAAACGCGGTAGTCGGGATATACCTCCGATTGTGGTCCACCTCTTCTAACCACATACTCCCGATACATGCGAGCAGCTGCTCGAGCATTTCCTAGCACCGTAATGACATGATTCTACTCAAACGTTAGGTACAAATTCCGGTATCTTCATTCAGTTGCCTAGTGCTCCAAAACGATACAAACACTACCTCGTAAATGTGTTTGCACATATCAATGCCTCACATTTGTTGGATTAGGTAGTCAAAATGCTGCTTTACGTGTTTCACACACCTTATGTGTTTATGATGTTAGGCAATAATAAGAGTTGTAGAAGAATGTATGCCAATACAACAAGTGTTGTATGATTATACTTTATATATCGGTGCCAAAAATAAGAGTTATTCACAGACTGATGACAAAAAATTGACGTTTGTTATACCATTTTTTTAAACAGTTGCTATTAACACTGCTACATTGATTACTTGTCACTATTGCTTTAACTGAGCACTTTATCACTGAGTTTCCTCTGTAACTTCTACATATTCAACAATAGTCACTTATGTTATTGCAAATACTGATAATACCTGATAGCATCAGCATGATGATGATGCTGAGCTCACGTGTAGCTCAGCGGGGTAGGACGAGGGTATTTTGCTTAGAAATTAGTGAAGGTAGAAAAGAGATTGTTTTGGGTGATGTACAGATATCATATCGGCCTTATCCTCATCCCCTTGTTTTGGTCATCGTTCATGAGAGTAAATGACAAACGCAATAAGTAACAGGATACAAAAACGAAAGGCAACTCCGAGATTCCCGAATAGAATGGTTGAAACTTGATCAATTCATGTTCTTTATTTTATATTCTGTGTGAGAAAAGTCAAAACGCTAGTCACAGACGAGGTCATCACAGATGTGAAATTCTATAGTTTGGTTCGACTTGCCCGCTTGAATTGGTTTTTAATGGTCAATAAAATCTGAAATATTCCTTCGTTAGCGTGTTTTCTCAATTTCATGTTATTGTTCACATTTAGTCCTTAAATCTGTGTTATTTTTAATGGAATACCCCATAAACAATAAGCAGCAATGCTGCCAAGGGAGATAATGTCAATTGTTAATGTCAAAAATTCACGTCATGATGCGACCACAGTGTATACTGGAACTGTCGTATTTCACAAGAGCAACATATAGTTCCTCTAAAACTGGTGCTTTGTTTTGAATCACCCCGTGCAATGACATAACCTAAATGCTATATTTATTTGTGTGGGTATTAAAAGTCAAGCTGCTTCTGGGAAGCCGCGAGACGGTGTAGTAAGCTGACATCACATTATCATTTCTATGAAAAACGAAATATGGTTGCCCAAGATGTTGGCTGGTTATTACAAAACTTCTGTTGAAGGATGCATTTCTATGATACTCTGGAAAGCAAATATTCAATAGAACAGGAGTTGTAGGAAACAGCGACAATCTTATCGGAATTTGAAATGTTAGGTCTGCTTTCGCATTTTGGTCGGTCACAGCAAAACTACCAGTTTCACTGTCATATTTTTTTTTATATTCCAACTACCACAAAGGCCTAAGGCCTAAACACCCATTGGGTACCGTGGGGCTATAGGGGGATACAGGGGAAAGGGGGAACGCCACACGGACTCTGGCGAGGGAACACGTGTGCATGCTACATGCACACATTCTGGCTCCGCCTACGAGATCCGCCAGGTGGTACCTCCACGTTCGACAGTCAGAGACCTTCCACCACCTACGGACAATCACAACATCCATACCCAAGAGAAAAATTTCTCCTGGGATGGGACTCGAACCCGCACAGCGCACGGCGACTGATCAGGAGACCGAAGAGTCTACTACTGCGGCCACCGCTGCTGCCTAATCTCTATCTCCCTCATATATAATTATATAATCTACCTTTGTGTGTGGACGACTGCTTTTTTTTTATATACTCCAACTACCACGAAGGCCTAAGGCCTAAGCACCCATTGGGTACCGTGGGGCTATAGGGGGATACATGGGAAAGGGGGGGACGCCACACGGACTCTGGCGAGGGAACACGTGTGCATGCAACATGCACACATTCTGGCTCCGCCTACGAGATCCGCCAGGTGGTACCTCCACGTTCGACAGTCAGAGACCTTCCACCACCTACGGACAATCACAACATCCATAGCCAAGAGAAAAATTTCTCCTGGGACGGGACTCGAACCCGCACAGCTCACGGCGACTGATCAGGAGACCGAAGAGTCTACTACTGCGTCCACCGCTGCTGCCTTGCGTAATCTCACAAACATACTTTATAGCTGTCTCTTCTATGTCTTCTATGCTCGCCCAGAAAATGGCTATAACTATTTTCCGATAGCTTAATCCGAGACATGAGGCTCAGATGCAGGGTATGTGGCAGAAGTTGAAAATGGCATGGACATGTTTAGAGGAGGGAAAACAGAACAGAATAACTTAAACTTCAACAAATATTATTATACAAAAGCGTTTTCATTATATTTTCAATAATAACTACTACGAATTACCTTATAATGTAACCAATTTTTAACAAACAAATGAGAAAAAGCAATGTGAACTTACCCTTACTTGTCAACTCTTGAAGAGGCTGGTGTCGGCTTCTTTTTGTCGCGTGGTAAGCAAAAAACTCTCTCCATGACTTCCATACTGTCAAGTGTAGGTTCCAAACCGTAGGTCGAAAGTTAACTAGAGATATGGATCTAGACGTAGCCAAGACTAGTGAGATTAGTGAATACATTAGACTTATGCTGAGGCTTGGAGTAGGCAACGGGTTGGCTCCAAACCTAAAAAGATTGGATCCTTTAGTTATGAGTTTAAAGCCTAAGCATCTCCAAGTCTCTTTCAAATCAAACAAAGAAGAGACTTAGAAATGCAGCCAGCAGAAACCATAACATAAAATAGTCATTATTGAAAATCTCCTAGACTCCTATGAATTTAAAATAAATGAACGTCTAGGAATTCCGTGAGAAGTCGAATAATTCCCTGATGGAATATGGAAAATATAGAGTCAAAATCACTCCATAAGTTCATTTGTGCCATAATTTGAGTACAATCATGAAGGATGAATAAGATATTTGTAAATTACATCCGATTCATATTTTATTAAGATACTTCAAAAAATGGAGACCAAATGAGAACAAAGATTTGCAGAATAAAGCAAAGAATACATAATAATTATATATTACCCTAAGCTCGCCATGTTTGCCTAACTAGACACCCACATAATGAAATTCAGGGTATAGTGCTCTTAATGTATATAAAATTATTTCGCATGTAGATATTGTTGTCAAGGTCACGAAGTTTCCCTTTAATTGGTGACATACATCGAGATGTGCGAAATGAAGATTTCAGGAAGGGTAAAATCATTACGACCTTTTTCATTTTATTCCATCACCTCCAAAATTTTGTTGTAATATATTAGCCGAAAGCGAAGTGCATTGCTGACATCGAGCAAATAGAGGAATATAGCTGTGTAATCGAGTCGTGTGAATTTTGTTCTGCTACTGCCGCATTCTGAAGACATTCAAATAAAAATTCAACCATATCAACAGTTTTATCGTTCGTAAAACGCATTTGGTAAGCACAAAAATTGCTCAAAGCAAGGCGAAACTATTATTTATATTTTGATTAGGTATTTGTTTTGTTGTATTGCATGGCTTGCTTCTATTTATTGTTTTTTTTCGTAGATATACATAGTGAATATGCATTAAACAAAATACGCCTTTTGTTATGAGCGTTACTTGGAGATATTTTGGACATTTTCAAAAAGGGTGATTTTATTCTGATGACTAAAAAAGAATTCCAGAAAAATTGGTTTAAGAAAATAAAAATTTAATGGATTTCCGTATAAAAATTTCTTTGTCCTAAATTTTAAGTTAGGAACAATGTATTGATTTCATAAAAAAAATCATACCAAAGCATTTAATTTTTTTGAGAAAGATATTAACTTAGCGCAAGCTCTTGTAGACTTTTTGGGAACTCGTTTTGTAGTTGTACATGGTGCACACTAAAAGCGACCTAGTCTGCAAGATGACATTCAGTCGTTTCTTCCGTTTTTTACATAATACTGCGGCACTGCTATTATGCAAATTGTAAAATTGAAGTGCTTTATATCGGTGCGAATTAGTCCTATTGTTATTCTAAGACAAGCATTTTGAAGCAGTAGATGTCCAGTTCTTGTATCTTTTAGTCTAAAAGTTCTCAAAGCTGCAGGATCCACGGAAAAAGTTTGTAGAAAAAAATTGAAATTTTTTTATATCTTTGTTTAATCCCATGAACATTTCTTGCTTAAATCAAATTTTTAATGAAAAATGTCCTTTTGCCTCTGAGCATCGATATCTCAGGAACCAGTCATTACAGAAAATCTAAGGGTGGTTTCAAAAGCTGGAATAGATTCTCTAAGATAATGAATGATATTCTGGTCTATTATTCTTGCAATATAAGAAAAGCGACTGTAAACATTCTCTACCGCCAATAGAAGAATCGATAACAAACCGGTGGCGGTATATAAAAAAGGCGAAAGACATGGAAAGGGTGAGAGACTACGTCTGCACTGAATGATATGACGTTAATGAATTTTTGTTGCGCAGAAGGAATTTATTCCGGGCTGCTGCATCTTAGACATATAGATTTCGTTCGTCTGCTTTCTCGCCTCCATGGTACATCGTCAGTATGTCTCCTTGCTAGAAATAGTTTCTACAACGACTGTTATATTGAGTGCTAGTTCTGTGGTGCTCTATGATGAGAATTCTTCTTGATTGACATGACAGTCACATACATATTTATATATAGATTGAAGTATATTGTAAGGCAAAACAGTCACAGTATTTGCTTTAATAGACACTTGCTATAGATGTTTATAGTTTCAATTATCTTAGTTTGAGGGTGCCGTTTTGGTCTCACTATCTGATAGACTTAATGGTTGTAAGTTAATCCTGTAGCTTATTGTTATATCCCTAATGTCGCTGATAACAGTGCTAGATGAGATGAGATGAACTTGAGCAGAAAACCTTTTTAATTTTAGTATGGTCAAGTTTCAAACCTGATTCATGTTAATTGATTTTTGTTGCGCAGAATAAATTAATATATCAAAACTATCCTACTTTCTGGAATTAGCACAACTGTCAGCAGTCATATGTTGCTGAAGTAGTTCAAAAATTGAACTAACAATGGGTCTCCAGCCTTCTTGTAGCAGCCGCTGTTTCGATATATAAAAAAAAATGGAAAGTGAAATTTTTCTTGCCACAAAATGTTTGGGTTAAAAAAAAATCACCATAGTGTAATCATATTAGACGAAAACACCCCTGATTTGCTAAATAATTGTAATTTTATTGCTGCAAGTTGTTCAAGGGGGTATTCAAAACATGGACACATAAAATGGGTAGACCAATTTTTGTAGAAAAACTTTTTATTCGACAACAAAGAACTAAAAAACGTGTTTTTTGGGATTCAATCGAAAGAGTTGGCAGGAACGAAAAAAATCTTCATATTAGATTTTTAGGCATTTAAGAGACCTACAGAATGAGACCACACGTAAAAAGATCCGACTCATAGCAAAAAAGTTATGGCCGAAAACCGAGGCAAACCGTAGGTTTTGGCACTTGTTGGTAATGCGACGATGGTTTCTCGCAGAAAATCGAAATTCTTCAAATTCGTAGGATTCGTACTTCTAAATCACCACAACAAAATTGGATGGATTGGTCAAGTAGTTTTTTGAGACTTTCTAATTGTTTATCCCAAAACACCTGTCTTCAGGCCATCAATACTAGTTTATTGAAGGATATACAGGGTTAGTTCAAAGGGCATTTCATTGCAAAATACACTAGTTTACTTTGCCGATATGAATCGCAAACCATTCCGGAAGATACATGTTATTTTTATGCAAAAAAGGATGGTTTAGGTTTTTTCTTCTAGACAAATTCAAACATTTCGTATTTGTGATTAATTCGCGAAAAAAGATGCTAAACATATTCGCTTTGTTTTGAAATCTGTATAGTAACGTATGTTTTTCGAATATCGTAGCGCATTTGTTCAATTACTCATAAATACGAAATGTTCGAATTTGTTTAGAAGAAAAAAACGTAACCTTTGTTTTTCGCATAAAAATAACATTTATCTTCTGGAATGGTTTGAGATTCCTATCGGCAAGATAAACACGTGTATTATGCTACTAAATGCTCGTTGAATGAACCCTGTATAATCATCAATAAACTAGGAGTGATGACCGGAAAACAGGTGTTTTGGGATAAACAGTTAGAAATTCTCAAAAAACTGCTTAATCAGTATATTCCAATTTTGTTGTTGTTATTTAGAAGTATGAATCCTACGGATTTGAATAATTTCAAGTAGTTGCGTGAAATTATTGTCGCATTACCAACAAGTGCCAAAAACCTGCATTTTGCCTCATTTTTGGGCCATAACATGTTTGCTGTTAGCAGGATCTTTTCACGTATGGTATCATTTTGTACGTCTCATAAATACCTAAAAATCTTATATGAAGAGTTTCTTCGTTTCTGTCAACACTTTCGATTGAATTCCAAAAACACGTTTTCTCATTATTTGTTGTCAAATAAAAAGTTTTCCCACAAAAATTGGTGTACCCATTTTATGCGACCATGTTATAAATATAACCTTGAACAACTTGCACCAATAAAACCAGACTTTACAATTATTTCGGGGAAATTTGCTAATATGATTAGACTAAAATGAACCAAACTTTGAAAATTAGTGAACAATCTCTTTTGTGAAATTTCAAAGATTTTACCCTCTCCAAAAAGTATATTTACAAAAGTTTGAGAATCCTGTATGGACTATCAGAAAGGGAAAAGGGTCGGGAGAAAATATGGTATCGTGAAATGTGTCTGGTAAAAATTTCACTACCCTAGCTGTAACGGTTGAGGAGGTGTGAGTTGTCTGTGTATTTTTTAGATTGTTTGTCCAATACCTCAACAATATGAAAAGGTCTTATTATATTATATTGTATTAAATTTCTTCGTTTGAATGTATCTACCCAAATCTGCAATAAAATGAAGGGCTTTCCATTTAAAAAAGTATATGTAGTATATGTTAGGATCGCCACGTAGTTATGAATCACCCTGTGGTGATGAAAATATTTACTCATTTAGAAGCATACTATTGGCTGCAAGTCTTGTA